ATAATAAACTACCTAGACTGTCACAGTCTTGATCTTCTGTTCATTCTTTTACTCAGAAACATACACTGATGTGGATACAGGCAAGAATTTTTATTATTACAGAATTTCTATCTAATTAGTGAAAATCTTTTCATAATGTTGTTTTCAAAGTTCATGCTGTCAGCCCAGTATATACTTATTAACGAATTTTTTTACAAATTTATGTTTATTGCTCTCTTATATCAAAGCACACATAAAGCAAATATAGTTAAAGTAATTCTTGGCAAGGCTTTCGTTTTATATATTACTTTTTTTTTCGAGACACGGTTTCTCTGAGTATTTTTGTATATGCTAGACCCACTTTATAGACTAGGCTGACCTTGAACTCATAGAGATCCACCTACCTCTCCTTCCTCAAGTGCTGGGATTTTAGGCATGCAACACAGCACACAGCTTATATAATACCCTTTAATTGAGAATTAGAGACTCTCTAAGCAAGAAAACCTGTCAGAAATTTTCTGAAATTATCCTATAAATTCAATAAAAACAAATGAGTGTTATCAGAAAGACATTTGCTTAAAATGTATCTGTTAAAATTTATCCCAAACTCATAGATAATCTTTCCAAGGTAATATGTGTACAAATGTGCATGTACACACAACACACACACACACACACACACACACACACAACCCCCATACCCCCCCCACACACACACATTGAACTAGAGATTGACTCTTTTAGAGCAGGTCATTGTATAGGCTGTCTTGGCTTCACACTGTTGATCCTGTTGCTTTGTTCTCCTGAAGCCACACTCATCAAGCTCCTACACACTTAAACTACCCCAGCTGGAGATTATAATTATATATCTGAAAACTTTTTTATCTTGTAATTTTAAATGGTGGAGTTTTTGTTGTTGTTGTTGTTTTGTTTTGTTTTTCTAGACAGGATTTCTTTTTGTAGCCATGGTTTGTCCTGGAACTCACTCTGTAGACCAGGCTGACTTTGAACTCAAAGGGATTCACCTGCCTCTGCCTCTCAAGTGCTTAGATTAAAGCTGTGTGCCACCACTGTCTGACTTAATAGAAGGTTTAACCAACTTTCATTCCAAAGATATTCAGTAGTGTTTGTGTTATTTCTTCCTACAATGACTGGGAAGAATTGCTTGTTGGACACGAGGATAGCTCAGTGAGTAAGCTAAACCCCCAGGCCTAAGTTTGATCCCCTGAATTCAAGTAAGGAGGCAGATGCAGTGGTAATTTGTAATCCCAGGATTCTCACTGTGGCAAACTGGAGAGCTGGGTGGAGGAACAGGAAGATCAGCGTCAGCCTCACGGGCTTAGCTTCTGAGATTCTGGTACATGACACCAGATACACGGGACATCCTCAGTCAAGAAGGCAGAAGGCAAGAAGAACCTACCGCCAAACGTTGTCCAGACTTCCACCTGCTTTGTGTTTCACCTGTGTTCCTGCAATTACACATATGCACATATAAGCAATGTAATTTTTAAAATAATTTTCATCCGTATTTAGATTTTTTCATTTTTATTATTAGTTACATTTTATTCACTCTGTGTCCCAGCTATATCCCGCTCCCTCATTCCCTCCCAATCCCATCCTCCCTCCCTCATCTCCTCCTTGCCCCTTTCCAAGTCCACTGCTTGGGGAGGACCTCCTCCCCTTTCATCTGACTCTGTTTTATCAGGTATCTTCAGGACTGGCTGCAAAGTCCGCCTCTGTGGCCTAGCAGGACTGCTCCGACCTTGGGGGGGTGGGGAGGCCAAAGAGCCAGTCATTGAGTTCCTGTTAGAAATAGTCCTTGTTCCCCTCACTATGGGAAACCAATTGGTTACTGAGTTACCACAGGCTACATCTGAGCAGAGGTTCTAGATTATATCCATACATGGTCCTTGGTGGAGTGTCAGTCTCAGAAAAGACCCTGTGCCCAGATATATTTGGTCCTTGTGGAGCTCCTATACTTTCCACATCATACTAACTCCTCTTCTTTCATATGATTCCCTGTACTCTGCTGAAGCTTTGATGGGAAAAAAATCTTCACCAACCCTTTATCTGACAGAGGGCTAATATCCAGTATATATAAAGACTTAGAGAAGCTAAAAAGCAACAAACCAAGTAATCCAATTAAAAAATGGGGAATAGATTTTCTGGTTTTGTTGCTCTCCTTGTGGGGTTCCTGTGTTCTCCAGATCTATTTCTCACTCCTTACATAAGATTCCATGTACTCTTCCCAATAGTTGGCCATAAGTCTCAGCGTCTGCTTTGATAGTCTGAAGGGCAGAGCCTTTCAGAGGCCCTCTGTGGCAGGTTCCTAGGTTGTTTGCTGTTTTCTTCTTCTACTGATGTCCATCCTCTTTGCCTTTCAAGATGGGGATTGAGTGTTTTAGTCAGGGTCCTCTCTAGATTAGTTTCTTTAGATGTACAGATTTTATTAGATTCATCCTATGAACACAGGGGTCTTCCGAGAGACTCATACTCTAACCAAGTACCAGGCATGGACTTAACTCAGAACCCTGGCATAGATGTAGCCCATGGCAGTTTAGTGTCCAAGTGGTTACATAGTAATGGGAAGAGGGTCTGCCTCTGACATAATCTGATTGGCCTGTTCTTTGATCACCTCCCCCTGAGGGGGGAGCAGCCTTACCAGGCCACAGAAGATGACAATGCAGCCACTCCTGATGTGATCTGATAGACTAAGATCAGAAGGACAAGAGGAGGACCTCCCCTATCAGTGGACTTGGGGAGGGGCATGCGTGAAGAAGGAGGAGGGAGGGTGGGACTGGGAGGGGAAGGGAGGAGCTTTTGGGGGGATACAAAGTGAATAAAGCGTAATTAATAAAATAAAATAAAATTTTAAAAATCGGAAACAGAGCTAAACAGAGAATTCTCGACAGAGGAATATCGAATGGCAGAGAAACACTTAAAGAAATGCTCAACTTCATTAGCAATCAGGGAAATGCAAATCAAAATGACCCTGAGATTTCACCTTACACCCATCAGAATGGCCAAGATCAAAAACTCAAGGGACAACACATGCTGGAGAGGTTGTGGAGAAAGGGGAACCCTCCTCCACTGCTGGTGGAATGTAAACTGGTACAACCACTTTTGAAGTCAATCTGGCACTTTCTTAGACAATTAGGAATAGTGCTTCCTCAAGACCCAGCTATATCACTGCAAGGGTATATACCCAAAATTTGCTCAAGTACACAACAAGGACATTTGCTCAACCATGTTTATAGCAGCTTTATTTGTAATAGCCAGAACCTGGAAACAACCCAGATGTCTATCAACGGAGGAATATATACAGAAATTGTGGTATTTTTACACAATGGAATACAACTCAGCAATCAAAAACAAAGAAATCATGAAATTTTCAGTCAAATTGTGGGATCTAGAAAAGATCATTCTGAGTGAAGTATCCCAGAAGGAAAAAAACAAACATGGTATATACTTGCTTATATAGACCTACAAGATATGATAAACATAATGAAATCTACACACCTAAAGAAGATAAATAAGAAAGAGTACCCGGGGTAAGATGATCAATCCTCACTTAGAAAGACAAATGGTATGTGCATTGAATGTATGACAGGAGTCTACTGCAGAAGGCATCTGAAAGACTCTGCCTAGCAGTGTTTCAAAGCAGATACTGAGACTCATAACTGTATTTTGATTTTGATGACACATTTATTTACTCCTTGCTAGGTACTGATCTCACAGTCTGTTTTTCACAAATAAAATTGAATTGCTAGCTAGTTTTCTAAAACATTTAAGTGTATTTCAAATCAAATCAAGTGTTTTAATCAACATGTTTGCTTGAGTCACTATGTCTGCATTAACTAAGAGAACTGTATTTTAAAATTATTTTCCATAAACTTGCTGAGACTCTGTGAGTATTATTAATGAATTTATATATAACAAAGCTGTAAGTATGCCTGATAGTTTTCAAGTTCAGGAATAACTTTTAACATATATGAATTGTTTATAAAATATACTATTGTATGAAGTATTTTCCATTTTCTCTTTTACAATGTACATTAAACACATTATAAAATTTACTGTATTTGCAAAAAAAAAAAAAAAAACAAATATGCCTAATCAATCCTAAAATAGTTCTTTAATAGTCCCTTTAACTTTTCCAGAAATAAGAAAATCATCTATCTCCTATTGTTTATGGTATTTTTATGTTTCCTGGCTGGCCTGGAACTCCTATGTAGATCAAGCTGGCTTTGAAACTGCAAGTTCTAGGATTATAACTGTGTCTTCCAAACTTATTTCAAACATATCCTATCCCAGTTACCTTCGGAATTTTGTCACTTAAGTTCTTTCCAATCTTTCCCCTGCCTTGAATGTATCTATTTTCAAAATGCATTGATTGTTCTGGTATGTTGCAGGACTTTGACCATGCTAGAAATGATCAGAGTCTGAACTCCCCCACCACCTCTATTGTACTCGCTCCTTCTTAACTGTGGTACATCATTCTAAATGTGTAGGTGCACACACTGCCAGGAGTTGCATTAGAATTTCATGCACACAAAATATGGACATGTATCCCTTGTCTATATTCATTGCTCACACTGCTCCACTTTGGAGCTCTGACCAAGTTAAACCACAAGAAACTTGAGCTGAAACATGTCATCTTATACAAAATACACTCTTACAGGTTTCTCCATATGTTTTCCTGTTGTCATAAAAAAATTTGGCCTGTCGAAGTGAGTGTCTTAGGGTCTTTCAGGCATTTCCCATCCCTTTGCTCATCTGTGTGACTTGTTTCCTGCATAAATTAGGAAACATTTCAGGAAGATAAACATCACTTTTCAGGCTTCATTCATTACTATTCTTGAGATCAATGATTTTATCTGAATGGCAATACCTTTCACTAAAGCACTTGGCCTTCATGGGGATCAGGACAAGCCTCATACAAACTTAAACTTGATATATCATTAATTCATATTAATTGCAATAGTCATCCTAAGGAATCTTTCTTTTCTTCTGTTTTCCAGGCTTCTTGAGCACAGGGGATCAGGCTGCCAAAGGAAACTACGGGCTCCTTGACCTCATCCAGGCCCTGAGATGGACTAGCGAGAACATTGGGTTCTTTGGTGGTGATCCCTTGCGAATCACTGTGTTTGGATCAGGCGCTGGGGGTTCATGTGTCAATCTGCTGACTTTATCCCATTATTCTGAAGGTAACCGTTGGAGCAATTCAACCAAAGGTATTATGCAGGTTGCAAATTTTGACAATTTTGGTGTCTGCATGCCACCACCATCAGTACTACGTGATGCTCTGTATATATTTCTCTGTTCCAACTGAGTGTTAGGTTGGGCTCAATAACTGTTTAAAGCTATTTCTTTAGCCTTTCTGTGCATGTTTAAGTTTCTGTCAGACTCTTTTCTCTGTCTTTCATGGAGCTGGGTAAGATGCTCTTTCAAGTACACTTCATATTGCTTAACATCATAGTCATTTTTCTTTTTGTCAAGGTTTGATTTGAGGGAAAATCAGACAAAGACTCTCAACATTCTGTCCTCTCTGCTTATTCAGTAATCAAAATCAAATATTTTTTAAATATAAGGACGTAGACACTTGAAGCCTTTTATTAGTCTGGAAGTAATGCAGTCAAGAACTAGTTTGTCTGGAAAGATGTGATTCTTCTTACTGCCTAAGAAGAGAATGGATGTTTGATTAGTTTGCATGCGTGATCCAAAATTGTCAAAGCACTGAGGTCACTGGTAGAGCCTTTGATTACAACAACAAAAAAAAGTTTGATTTGGTGGTTTCCTATTTTCAACTCAAGTTTTTTGTTTTATTTCTCTTTCCGTTTTCTCCTAAAGCTTGGCAAAGCAGCATGGAACACTAGCCTGTTTTAGTCCACAATTTTTTTTTATTTCTATTTTCTGGCCTTGAGTATTTTCCCTAAAGTGTGTGGCATCTTCCCAGACATTCAGTCACCCTTTACAATCCCATTATTAACTGAAGAGCTATTCGAAAAATTTCACAGAGCAAATACTTTCTATTATTTATATGTAATAAAGAAGGAAACAGAATACTCATCAACAGAGAAAAATCTCAGATTTTCTGCTTCCTAATTGTCATTATATGTGTGAGAAACACAAGTTATTCACTGTCAAATAAAATTCAGAGATAATTTGTTTCCAAAAATACATTTTTTTTTTGTAATTTGTACGTGTGTGTGTATGTGTCAAGGGGTGGCAAGTGTATGTATATGCATGCAGAGATCGTAGTCAACATGGGCTCTGGAAGAGCTATAGGTGGTTGTAAGTCATTGGATGAGGGTGCTGGGAACTGAGCTCTGTCCTCTGCAAGAGCAGGCAGTATGTGCTCTGAACACATTTTCAGTCATCAAAGATACATTTGGAATCCCAAGAGAACAGCAATCAATAGTAAGTACATTACGTTTTATGTAGACTTGACTTATTTCATGGTTTACATAGCTTCTCTCTTCATATCACATAATTATTTGAAGTAACATGATGATAAAGAAGAGACATTTCTGAGTAGATATGTTGGTCTGTAATAAAATTGCTTACTTTGAAGTAATAAAGTTATTTTTTAATTAAGCAGATTATCTCATTCCTAAGATGAGTGCTAATATTTAGCTAAGTTATCATTAGGCAACATATAGAACTCTTGGAGTCATTGGAACAGATATGGGTCCAGTGCCAGTGTCAGCCAGTAATATCAGAACACTGACTGAAAAATACAAATCAGTTTGTCACTTGCTCATCACTTGACAGGACAATGAAGCAGTGCAAATGGTTCAGCAAACAGCGGAGAGTGTTACCTTCCATCACTCTGTGTAAGGACATATTTCTGTATCTGATTGGAGACAAGAACTTGAGTTTGATCTCAGTTGAAACTCCTCACAAGAGCTGTCTGACCCTACCAGGAAGGGCACAGACAATTCTCTGAAACTCTCAGATAGTCTCTATGTCAAGACAGACCTGGATTTTAAAAACTGTAAACCCAATAGAGAGCTCCATATTGCTCAGGTCTGCAGCTACCAGGAGTCACCAACATCTCTCACACACTTAACAAAACCCCCACACCAATGATAAAAATAAATGCTTTCCTGCGATCATCTGGTTACCATGTTTGAGGTGATATTTAACATAAAGTCATGAATACTTTTTGGTATATTTGAGGTCACTGAGTGCCTGAGATAGGAAAAGATTTTTCTTAATGACTGGGTTTATTTTAGTCATAAATATTTATTAGTAAGATAGTCTTCTGCTCAAATGTCAATGTGACATCTGTTACATTGCCAAAAGTCTATAGTTTGCTCTGGTGAACTTTGCCCTATCAAAGCAAACAGAAAACAAGCAATAAAACAAAAAAAGACTAATTGGCATTGTTTGACCTTTTTGTGTGTGTTTTTTTTTTAAATCATCTAACTATATACTAGTGGCTATGTATGTTTGGAGAGAACTCTGGAATCAATTCAGACATGACTTTTACAATTTGTATAAACAACTACTTTCTCCTTAATGTATATGAATGTTTGATTATGTTCTTAAAATGAATAATCACCTACTGGAATCTGAAAGAGGATAATAAAGACAAATTCTTCAATAAAATATATAACCTATATTTTTAAAAGTCTGTTATAAGAAAATACTCTAGTGAATCAAGGGTATTTATAAATTTGCATGTGAAACTATAATTTACAGCTTTTAAAATTCAAGTAAAAACATTGGTATATATATATATATATATATATATATTCACACACACATTATGTTTTATAATTAAATATAGCAGCATACATACAACAATAGAAAAGTTTAATTAATCCCTACAGAGTGCCCCTGCAGATATTTTCCCTCTAACTTAGTGAATACACTTCTTTGGTTCTGTCTTCTTTAGAAAGATGAATATTCATCATCCAACATCTGGCATAGAAATCTGGAAATAGTATGTTTCAGGTTTTATTCTGTTTTGTGTGATGTCAGGGCCATCCCCGGGGTATTGACAAATGCCCAGTCCTGGTATCTGTGTGAGTCCCAAACAATTATGTTTTCATAGAAAATCTACTTACAAATATTATGCAATCATCATGACTGAGAATAGGTATTCAGCCAAATTGAAAGAAATATTCAAAACAGGTAATACAGAGTCTGCTGAGGAGGCAGAGGAGAGAATTGGCTCCATTCTTTTGATGTTAGTGATCATGGGTAATAATCATTAAGTAAAATATTCTAAAATATTCTAGTCCTTTAGATCCCCACACTTTACAATTTCACCTCTTCTCACTGTGTCTTTAAGACCACAAAATTTAGAACCCCAAAGCAAATTACACTTGAATTATAAGACCCTGACCCATTTCTCTGGTGTTTTATACCCTGGGGATAGCTTTATGTACTTTCTCTTAGACAAAAAGTATCTGTTTCTTGAGTTGTACTTGGGATTTTATATACATGTCTAATATATCGGATGTTAATTCTGGACTCTGACATTCTTCAATGATCATCTGAAACTTTCTGTTGATTTTCCCATAGGACTTTTTCAACGAGCAATAGCTCAGAGTGGAACAGCCCTTTCCAGCTGGGCTGTTAGCTTCCAGCCTGCAAAATATGCTAGAATGCTGGCCACAAAGGTTGGCTGCAATGTGTCAGATACAGTAGAGTTAGTGGAATGCCTGCAGAAGAAGCCTTACAAAGAACTTGTTGATCAAGACGTTCAACCAGCCCGATACCACATAGCCTTTGGACCTGTGATCGATGGTGATGTAATACCAGATGATCCTCAGATACTGATGGAACAAGGAGAGTTCCTCAACTATGATATAATGTTAGGAGTTAACCAAGGGGAAGGGTTGAAGTTTGTCGAAAATATAGTAGATAGTGATGATGGCATATCAGCCAGTGATTTCGACTTCGCTGTTTCTAATTTTGTTGATAATCTATATGGATATCCTGAAGGCAAAGACGTTTTGAGAGAAACCATTAAATTCATGTATACTGACTGGGCTGATCGCCATAATCCTGAAACTAGAAGGAAGACATTGTTGGCCTTGTTTACTGACCATCAGTGGGTAGCACCTGCTGTGGCTACAGCAGACCTTCACTCAAACTTTGGCTCACCCACATACTTCTATGCCTTTTATCATCATTGCCAAACAGATCAAGTTCCAGCTTGGGCAGATGCAGCTCATGGAGATGAGGTTCCCTATGTGTTGGGAATTCCCATGATTGGCCCTACAGAGTTATTTCCTTGCAATTTCTCCAAGAATGATGTGATGTTGAGTGCAGTAGTAATGACATACTGGACAAATTTTGCTAAAACTGGGTATGTACCTGAGGAATGAACTTTGTTCTAATATTAATAACAAATACCCTTTTAAGTATTTTTGAACAATATGATTCAATGGTCTAATGTGTTTGCTATTTGTTCTGTAATACTGGGGATTGAAACAAGTGCCTAAAACATGCCACAATACATATTCCATCAATATGCTACATTCCCAGTCCCATGTCATAGATCAACACCAGTAGCCTATTAACCTGTTATAGTAAAAATTAATTCTACATTGTATTCTTTTGAATAGTTATATCACTTTACTAATTCTGTACTTTTAAACTTTACTGAAACTAGTATCTCTATTGCATTGCTCCATGACTATATTATACTCAGTTCTAAGTTGCATAGCCCATAGCATCACGGCTATGGCAAACATTATGTCTTAGAACTTTCTAGTTAATAATACTATACGCATTTTAATCATCAATCTTGGATTCCATGGATCTTACTGAACATAGAAGGGGCCTTAGATTCTGGAAGCTTCTATATAGGGTAGGTAAGCGCTGTGATGACGTATATTGCTTCAGGTACCAGTCCTAAATTCCACATCTTTGATGCTATTTTTGTTATACCACACCTGAGAAAAGTCAAACCTATTATGTGAAAAGCATTAATTTGTTTTTTTTTTCCCTATGATTGTTGTGTGCACATATGATGTGTTAATGCGGGAAATTGCTGTAGTGTACTTACGGAAGTTAGAGGACAACTTTGTTTAGTTTGTTTTTTCCTCCTACCTTGATATTGACTTCAGAAATTAAACTCATGTTTGCAGGCTTGTCCAGAAAACACATCCACTGCTTGTTTTTTCTTCTTTTTCTGGACCTGAAAAAATTAAAAGAACTTTGAGTAGACACTAGTTCATCTCTACATGAACAGGACCAAGAATGTGAAACTTAGAGCTTTATATTATCACCCACAACATTTTATATTAAATTTCTTAATTGAGGCAAGTTAATGTTAAAACATAATTCATATGTGTCTTCATAGATTCTTTCTTGTCTTTTCACCCTTTTTCCTAGTGACCCAAATCAACCAGTTCCTCAAGACACAAAATTCATTCATACCAAACCCAACCGCTTTGAAGAAGTAGCATGGACTCGATATTCCCAGAAAGACCAACTTTATCTCCATATTGGATTAAAACCAAGAGTTAAAGAGCATTACAGAGCCAATAAGGTAAATCTCTGGTTGGAGCTGGTTCCTCATCTGCATAATCTCAATGATATTTCCCAGTATACCTCCACAACAACTAAAGTGCCATCAACGGACACCACTCTCAGACCTACCAGGAAAAATTCCACACCGGTCACATCAGCCTTTCCCACTGCCAAACAGGATGATCCCAAACAACAACCAAGTCCTTTCTCGGTAGATCAGAGGGACTACTCCACAGAGCTAAGTGTCACGATTGCAGTGGGAGCATCACTGCTGTTTCTGAACATCCTGGCCTTCGCAGCCCTGTACTACAAAAAGGATAAGAGGAGACATGATGTCCACCGAAGGTGCAGCCCACAGCGCACGACCACCAACGACCTGACCCATGCTCCCGAAGAAGAAATCATGTCCCTCCAAATGAAGCACACTGACTTGGATCACGAGTGTGAGTCAATCCATCCACATGAGGTGGTTCTCCGGACCGCCTGCCCCCCAGATTATACTCTAGCTATGAGGAGGTCACCTGATGATGTTCCTTTAATGACACCTAACACCATCACAATGATTCCCAACACTATACCAGGGATTCAGCCCTTACACACATTCAATACATTTACTGGAGGACAGAACAACACCCTGCCCCATCCCCACCCTCATCCCCATTCACATTCAACAACCAGGGTATAGCCAGATGAGAGAGACAAACTGATTTTTTTTTTCTGATGGAGTGCAGCAAAAGATTATTGAAGATTCCTTGGCTTTCAACTCGGAAGACTCTCGCTATTTAAATAAGGAGGAATATTATGTGAATATACATATCAAGAACTTTGGGGGTTTTGAAAATGAATTGTATATAGATATACACACAAATCAACTTTAAAAAACAAATTTCAATTGTTTGAAGCAATTGTTCTGAATGATACTTTTTCATTCACATTCAAGAATTAATTTGTTGAAGATTTAAGTTACATAATGGAGTTAGGCGTGTGGAACACCAAACAGGAAAGTACTGTGTCTGAACTACTTTTAAAAGGAAAGAAAGAAAGAAAAACAAAAATGAAATCAACTATGAATATGCACAAGGGACACATCAATGGAATGTCCGATAATTTTCGTCAGTTTTCATTTGGAGCCCTTTAATTGTGTAGACCATATTTGCTTAAATACACAGAGCACGATGCTGTTAATGGCATAGCAGAGGCTCATGCTGAAAATTGCCAGTAAAACAGAGAAGTTTAAAGACTGGCAGGTACAACATTATCACATAAGTGCTGTCAGTACTAAGTCGTGGGGATCAAGGAGACTGGATATTTTTAGCACGATGTGCATGATAATTTATATGCTTGGTGGCTGTGCTGCTGATTAAGCCGTAATTAAAATTCTTCTCATCCCATTGGAGTTTTTAATAGGAGCTTTCTCCATCAATTGGCAGAACCTAAAGAAGATTTTATAAGGGGCAAAAGTAATTACAATAAAATAATTTGCAGTAGTTTCGATAATAGAAGGAATAGTTATTAAAGTCTTTGGAGAAACTAGAGTTATAGTGGTGCATACTCGCTGATATGAATCCCAGAAAAAAATTCTTATGAGTTTAATATTCTTTTCATTCCCTTATAAGTAATTTATAGAAATGCAACTCTAATTGGACATGTGTTAGCTGTGGATCTATAATTTGCTGTGGGTTTGTTACTCTGAAGTTTGCTCCTTTTTGGTAAGGTGAAGTGCCACAGTTTTTCAAGGTGTAGGGTGCCCCAATAGTACTGCTCTGATTACAGTTCTCAGTTAATTGATTTACTCATGTTGCATGACAAAATGCTTACTACCAATAATTCAATAGAAAGTTCAGTCCCTCTTCACATTGCTTCTTTCTCACTGAGGTTCACTTGAATTACTCATGAGGTCTCAGTAGAGGACATGTAGGTGGAGAACCTAGGAAAGTCAACAGCTAGAGGGTTTGTCTTTCACATATGTGCAATTTCAAATGAATTATCTAAGACCACAGGAAACTCTGAATCCTCTTTTGTTTACCAGTAATATCAGTATACCACAGACCTTTCCAAATGTTTGTATATGTAATCAGATGTACATTTATATTAAAAAATGAGATGGACTTAAAGAGCACATCCTGATAAATGATTTCTCTCTTATCTGTACTATATTTCTATTAGACTAAAGTTATGTGATTTTTTTTTTTTACCTTTTTTCAGATGACTAGCAATTTTGATAGTTTGTAAGATAACGCAAAGGACTTTCTCTGACTAACTGCAGTAACAGAAACCTTTCTTTCCAGCTACCCTTTTTCAAGAATTGAAAGCTTATTATACACAAGAAAACACTTGTATACTACTTGATGGGAAGGACGTTGTGTATCTCGACCACGTCAGTGGTCACTGGGTGAAATAAAGATAATATGGAAAATGACGATCAGTCAAATGCTAAGAGACATGATTTTTGCTCATTAAAGAGCTAAAATGTTCATTGCTGTTTTGTCTTTTATTTTTATCAAAAAAAAATCTAAAACAAAAGATAAAAGACTGTCTTGGAGTCGTTTCTCTAGAACAGTTGGGTTTTTAAAGACACACAGGCAACTGTTGAAAACACAACAGTGTATTAAGACTCTTGAAACATTAGTGCTACTAACTTAGAAATTCCAGGGATTCATCTAAAATATTACTTTGGTAATTTTAAATAACTCTTCCTTGAGACAACATACAAACAAGGAAACCACTGTTTTCAATGAAAACAGAAGTGGTGAAGTTGCTCACAAGGGGAAAGCCCTCTTAGGGCTTTGGAAATATGGAAATATGGAAATAGAGGCACACTATTTCATGAAGTAAGGTATCTGCTCACAAAGCAGGAGTAGGTAAACTCTCAGACATTTTAAAAAGTGTTCTTCAAGAGAATTTTAAAGTTCCAAAGAAGGTTTTGAGCTGACACTGAAAGATAAAAATCTACTTCAAGAAACTGATTTGATAATAACTTCTACCCCAAAGCACTATCAACAAATTAAGTATTGTGCTACTTAAAAATACTATTCTCTGTCATAAGCAAGGTCTTCAAGATCCAGAGTAGTCTACTTGCCATTGTTGACTGACAGGTCTGTATGTTAGACAGTGAGCTGCCACCGGAAGTGAGCAAAAGGAACTGTGTACCATCTGAAGCGCTGTTTAATCATCAAACTGTATTTAACTATATTAAGAAAACAATAAGACTTGAAGTAGAAGTGACAGCAAAATAAGGTGTGACTGACTGCTTCCATACGCAGTAATTACTTCACTTGGAAAAATCATTCTATTATTTAGTGGTTGCTCAATTTTCTATCTCACTGTGAAACATGCTACATTTCTCTAACATCTACCTTTTGACAGTTCTTATTAATTTAGGGAAATATTTAAGGGAATAACTCATAACCTGATTGTTTTCTGAAACAGGAGAAAGACAAAGTAGTTAGCTTGTAGGGCTGCCCTTGGGGATGTGGCAACGGTACTGTGAGTCAGTGTGAGTAGCTGGTCTAGTTTGTTATTGCAGACTCTGGCTTCCTGAGCATGAAATAATGTCTCACATAATCAGGACTAACAACTGATAGCAAAGCTGAAAAAAAATAATTTTTAAATGAAAGCAAAGTTTGACATTTTGATTTAGTTTCATCTAATGTATTAGGATTGCATTTCTCTAGAAGATAATATTCCTTGGGGAGGAGAGTGAACACTAAAGTTAATTAAATATTTTAGCATTATTTATTAATTCATATCTCAATTAAAATTAAATACCAAACAAGAACAAAATTTAAAATTCACACAGACATCAAGCCAAAATAATTTTTTGCCCTTTGCTTTTATATAATTTTTTCAAGATATATGAAAGATCTAGAATGTTTTCAGTATGAGCTTAGACATGATGAAGTGACATAATTAATAATTTTAGTGTTATTGATATATTAAATAAAAGTAAAATCTAGTTGACTATAATTATTTAATAAATTTGATCACTAACTTTCATCTGATTTAGAGTATAATTTTCTGAATATCACATGTACCCAATTTAGAGGCATCTTTCACCTCACAGCAGAAATTATATCATTCATTTTAAATCTAAGAGTTGATCTAGAACACACTTTAATGCACACCTTTGGAAACATATGAAAGGAAAACAATGCAGACTTCTAAAACGCCTTCAACTGTAGGTGATAGTAAGGAACAGCAATAACTCTATTACAGAAGTGGAATGCCAGGGCTCACTTATATGTGTACTTGGAACAGCAGTTACTTCACTATTGGGGTAGGTGTGTGGACATGCATACAAACACCCAGAAATGACGCAGAGAACAAGACAGGCTGCCCCCAGCTTTTCAGGCACAACAGCCTCAGAATCACTAGCCTTGTTTTGTTGGCAAGTCTCACTGAAATGGTTTCGCAAGAACAAATACTGAATGGAATTCCTAGGACACTGTCAAAAACCATGACAGTCTTTTTGTAATTTTGTTTACTTCTGGGGAATTGGCTCAGACTGCTGACCTTTTATTTCTAGAAATTAGTTGTTATAGACCATCACTCTTTAATGTGAGTGAAAATTTGATAATTTGGTTATACTTGTTCCCAAGTACATTTAATTAATGGGCACTTCCCTGCTGAGATTCTGTTATCATTCATTTAATTATCATGACGAACTTTATTATTAGAGCAGTTGTCTTCATTTCTTAGTCACTACAGTAAAGAAATGTCTCCAAAAACCTTCTGACTCTCCTGCACTTGATCTGTTAACAACAAAAACTTCAACTTTTCATCAAAACTCTAAGCTTCCTATTGATGTGAAATATTGGGCTAACTTGATTCGCTCCTCTAAATTTTAATCTAGCATTTTGCTGTATTTTTTTAGGCCAGAAATCAATTCAATTTGTTTAGCATTACAGAAAATACAGACTGTAAAAGATGATGTGCAGTGTTTAAGTGCCATCTTTCTTTGGTATTTTATTTAGAAAACATCATTTTGTTTTTAAATTTATAGCCTTTGTCTTTAAAATATAAAACAGAATGACTGTGGTATTAATTGCTAATGGTCAAATTTTATTTAGAATCCTTGAATTTAATTTGACTTTTGTATGATATAAAAAAAAAATCCAAATATTCCTCTGGAAAGATTGTGGTAAATTTTTAGAATAAATGGTATTTATTTAGGCATCTGTAATGGTGCTTAGAATGAAAACTTACAATTATAAAAGGCTTTAAAAATTTTCCAGATCCAAACATAGTGGTGCATATCTTTCATCCCCATCTTCGGTAGTAGAAGCAGGCACAAGTCTGTGAGTTCAAGGTCACCTTAGCAAGCTCTGGCCAGCAAGAGTTACATAGTGAGACCTTGTCTCCGATAATATGCTTCAACTGGGTAAAGTTATTTTGGAAGGAAGTAATTATTATGAATTAACACAAATTTAATACATATATAATTTTTTCTCTAGTCATCTATTTTATTCTGTTTCATATACATACACTGTAACAATACATACACTGTAGCAATTTTATAGACGATACACTTTCATATGCCTGTTCTTACAAAGATATCTTGTAATTAGAACACATGAGGTAGGACTTAGCCCTCTGCAAAATAGCCAGCCAAAGCTCTGGCTCTCTAATTTAAATGATAACAATTGTAGATTTTATGAAACTTGTAAATGTCCAATAACAAAAACTCAGCAGTGGAAGTTCAAACATAGAGACCTTCTCCAAATGTTATTTCCAGAACTGATGGCTGTTACATGAGATAATTAAAATGATTTTAGTGGGGTTTTTTTGGTTTTTTTTTTTTTTCATTCCTTCTTTGAAGTCATATTCATCAGTGAATCAATGGGAATGGGTCATGCTTTTTATAAAAATAAGGTCATCAGGTTGTGAACATTCCAACTGTGTTTGGACAACCTAGCCCTCATTTCAAATGCATCTGTTGCCATAAATAAATACCTCCATGGTTTCTAAGTGGTGTAGACTGTTGTAAAAATCAGGAAATTTTATTTTTGTTTGGTAGACACATTTTAAGATGATTGTAGCCTTGCAACAGCATCCTGTTATTCATAGATATAGAGAACATTTTGACTTTTTGAAAATAATGATATACATGGTCTTCTTAGACCTTGGTGCGTTCAAAGAAACAGACTGAAAAGTAGAGTTTGAAAAGTTGGAGTTGGCCTGATATAAAAACAGACAAGCAAATACAAAGAGTTCGTGGAAACACCAGGATGTAAGGGAAAAAAAATTTTTCAATTTTAAATTAGTGATTCTTCCTCCAAATAACCTTCTGTTTAATATGTTGTGGTTTGTGAAAAGAAGACCTTTTGGACCATAAATCTATTGAGATTAAGACTAAATAAGACTCAAATAGAGAGATTAAGATACAAATTTTAGGAGGGTATAATAAAGGGTATATTAGTTATTAAAATATATTTTATGTGCATTGGTGTTTGGCCTGAATGTATGCCTGTAATAGGGTGTCAGATTCACAAGGATAGAAGTTACAGAGGGTTAGGAACTGCCATGTGGGTTTTGGGATATGAACCTGGGTTCTCTGGAAGAGCAGCTGGTGTTTTCAAGCCCCTAATAAGCTTATTCCTTGATACAGGTCTCCAAATGTGTCCAGAAACAAACAAAAATAAAGATATAAACTATTTTTAGTTTTGTATTACACACTCAGTATTGATCTTGGGAGTGGAGATGCCTGTCTCCACTGTGTCTCATCTGTAGAAACCAAGATAAGGGTAAAGTACACAAGAGAGAAGTCAAAGCATCCATCCTAGATGAGGCCTAACTTTCAATATTTTCAGGTTGTCATCTAAAAGTACTGGCCTTGTCTGGAGGCTTCTCTGGCTATGTAATACCTATTCAAGAGTGTCACTTTCTAAACAACAGCAGATGGTTGCTAGGATTTGATGTATTGGATGTGATTCCACTTTAACTACCTTTTTTCATTTTCTTATACTTACCAAAATGCTTTTTTTTCCCCTAAGTTTCATAAAATCCTAAACACATTCCATAAATTTTCATGTAGAAGCAGCATTTTCCAGTGAAATGCTTTTATTTTAAGCACTTCCTCATGCCCCAGTTCTGGAGTGCTGCCTTGAAGATCTTCAGACTAAAACATTTTTATCTGTCCTGAAAATACTGCACTTAGCCTTAAGAGCGGCCTTCTTCCACATGACGACAGGCCTCCTCACCAGCTATTAGACCTTCTGTTTCCATGACTTTTCTAGTTACTATTTACACCTACTTCACCAACGGTGTTGCATTTTGGGGGAGGAGTCTTAAAAATTAGATTTAGAAGCCAGTGAATGTCACTCAACCGTGATGGACGCGAGGCATTCACTCCTTCAGTAAATGATGCTCACCGTCATTTCTTTCTTCAGCCAATGATGCTCAGCATGTGTTAGACATCCTGTAAGGTGTTGTCTTCTAGGTCCAATTCTGAGACCTATTAAAATTCTTATTATCA